ATCCACTCAATTATCTAGGTCTTCCAGCTTGCTTTCATCAGATTTTCCAGGTGCTAATGGTCTTATCTTATCAGCTTTCCACTTATAAGCAGTGTACACTCTCCAGATCTCTGAAGAAGACAGTCTGATGTCCCATTCACTATTGAAAATGTCTGTCTGATGCAATTTCTTCATGACAAAATCATGATTTTTGTTCAGAGATGTGTAAATTGATCAAGCACTTTATGAAATAGGTTTGCAAATTAAGCTGGAATTAATATTGTGTGTGTAATGTTTGCAGTGAGCTGTAATGCTGTCTGAATCAGAAAGCAGAGATTGAAAAATCTGAACTTCCAATGCAAAATTATTCTTGTCTTCTGATTGGTCCATTTGATTCACTAGCACACTGATTAATCTGATTAGACTTAGCATGCTTTTGGATTCACCAACACCAGAATTATGTTTCTTCTCATTGCTGTAAGCACCAACACCAGTAATGCTGCCAACACTCTCAACTTCTCTATTTCTTTCAATCTCCTGATCTTCAACCTTCTCATTATTAATTCTTACATTCATTATCTTCATCACATCTTCTTCATTCTCCTCAGGTCTTGTATTCACAGGCATCTGTCTGATTAAATACCTGTTGAATTGTTTAAATGATCACTGTTTGATTTATCAGTCACATATCTTATGTTGCTTGAGTTTGGCTTAAAGTCTTTGAAAACTAGATAATGTGTTCATTTCTTGTTATAAATTTTACAGTTCACTCTGCTGTCTTCTGAGGTGTTGCACCCCCAACAGACAGCAAATTGCCAAGATCTTCCAAGAATAAGTTGCTGATCCTCTTCCTTAAATATAAGAAAAGAGATATGTGTAACAATATCTTTAATTTGAACAGGCACTTCATCACAAAACACATAAAAAGAAGTGACTTCTCCCATTTAAACAACCATGGTCACTTACAGCTTATTTTTCATTGGCAATTTCAATATTTCAGCATACTTCTGAGACAACAAATTGATTTCTGAACCAGTATCAATCAACACCATTAATTCTTGTTGATTTATAGTGACTGGTGCATATAATAAACACATTCCATATGCTGTTTTGGATTTTGGCACCATGAGCTTTAAAGTAAGTCAACCAGAATTGATCTTTAGCTCAGACTGAACTGGTTTGAAGACTCCAACCCTTGCATGACTCTTGCTAGTACTGTTATTCCAGCCTGATTCAAAGAACACTTAATGAAGCTTTAGTGATACATCTATAAGCTTCTTAACTAACAATTCAACTTTTCCATTGAGAATTCAACCCATTAATTCATTGGCATTTATTGAATTACAGATCTGAGAGAATAAGCAATCTGTTGCAGAATATCTTGATCTTTGTTTCTCTACAGACTTGTTCTGAATTTCAGGCTTCTTCTGATTAATCAGTTCAACATCTTTCATGATATCATCATCAACACTAGTCTGATTATCCTGGTAAGTAATAAATTATCCAGTACACTGAGTATGGAACATTACAATCTTAGCTTTTTGATTATTCTTAGCTTCTCCAATTGTTTTAATATTGACTGATGTTCTTTCTTTCAATGGTTCATATTTCTTATCTGAATCAGATTCTCCATCAGACATTAGATATACAAGCTGTTCTGCTTGGATCTTCATACTGGTTGAATTTGCAGAAGATGTCTCTTCTTGCTGATTGATCTTCTTTTTAAGGCTTGTTGACTCTGGAATTGCTCATTCATTCTCTTCTATAGATCATACAATATACATGTTTGGGATTCCAGATTTAGAAGTGACAGCTCAATAGTTTTGACTCTTAGAGCCCATGCATAAGTTCTCTTCATCATCAATATGGCAGTATCCATTACTCATATCAGATTGGTATTCATAACACTAAGATTGATGATGTTCAGGTTTTCCACAGTAGAAGCATGAGGAATATGTCAAAATTTCTCTAGTTTGAGCTTCTTCTCATCCACAAGCACTACTATAGTCTGTTATAGAAGAGCCATTTCAAGCCAAATAGAAGTTGACTGGCAGTTGAGTATTCTCTTGTACAGTTGTAGGATTAACAGTCACATTTGTTGGATAATTTGATATAGATTTTGGAGGTCCTTCTCTCTGCAGTATATAATACTGATTGGAATTTTCTTGTATCTGATTTGATTGTACTCTCATGGCTAATGCCAAATTTGTGAACTTGTTGGTCATCTTTTCAATAGCAGCTTTAATATTGACACTGTCAGAGCTCTTGACTTTAGCTTTTGATTTAAATTCTTCAGTCTTTACAAAACTAGCTGTTTTCTTTGGAGCTTCAACTGTAGAGGGCTTGTTAGCTAATTAATATTGCTCACCAAGCTTCTCCATTTTCTTCTGTTTCATTTTATCTTCTTTAAAGATCTTTTTATTTCCTTCATACTGGTTAATCAAATTCATGGTCACCTGAACAACTTTCCTAAAATCAATAGACAACATATTGTCTGAAAGATTAAGCTTAGCCTTGTCAATAATCTTATTCTGGAGCTTCTCAGGTAGCCCCTGAAGAAATCAAGACATCTTAGTGAATTCATCAAGTCTTTCATTTGCTTGAACTGTACTGGTGATAGTAGTGTATTCTTAAATATAGGCACAAATGTTGCCATCCCAAGCACACAGTTTCTTTGTAATTGCCTGGAGGTAATTCTGATGATGAATCTTGTAAGTAATGTCTTGATCACAAAATCCATAAATAATCTCTTTGAAGAATACTTTCCAATTATCTTCTTTATAGTCTTTCAAGATCTTCATCCATTCTCCAATCCATGTAATACAGTATCTAGCCAACTGTTCAATAATGTTTTTAGGGTCAATTACCCCATGATTCTTGCACATCTGATAAAACCTTTCAATAAACAGGGTAGCATCTCTGCTGTCAAACCAAGATGCATTTGCTGTGCCAGGGGAAGGCATAGGAATGTGGGAATGAACCACAATTCTCTTGTCCTCACCCAGTGACATAGTTGCATATGATCCTGTAGTACCTTCAGCCATAGTTGATTCTGATTCCAATTTCTTGGTTTCTTGATCTTTAGTCATGTCACACAGTATGTTCTGTCTATTAGTCAATATCTTCCAAAAACCTGTTTATCAGGCAAGCTCTAGATAAGAGGCATTCAAATCTAAGCTCCCTAATCTTATTCCTAAATAAAAAAAACTGATTAGTACTGTGTCTCTAGTTCATAAGATCTTACCTTGAAGTAGTGTATTGCTTCATGTGTCTCAGAATTTGTTTTTCTCTTCCTTGGCAGTCACCAAATCACCACATCATCATCTTCAGGTCTCAGCTTGGTCACCAAATGGAGCAGGGTATGATGGGATGCCTTGTCAAAGTAGGTGAGTTGGTTGATATGGTGAGAGCACAAGAAAGGTGAAAAATCACCACATAGTAAGAGTATGGTTGAGTAGTAAGTGTAGAGATAGATATGTTCTAACAGATGCCTAAGCTTGCAAGAAGTAATAGTACTAAAGAGCCCTGTACTAACACAGGAAGCTCTAATGAGAAACAGTAGCACATTTCATGAACAAGAAATCTTCATATTCTCTAACTAATAGCTGAACTGGTAGTAAGGAACAAGTGTGTAGAAAAGAGCAATGGTGCATGAAGGTAATAAGCAAGATGCAGGGGCTACAGGTGGTTTATATAGCTCAAGAATAATAGCTTTGGGGTGGTTTGCACCTCAGACCAGAACAACCTTTGTTCTAATGAGGTACTGGAATCCCCACTACACTACAGAATCATATATAACTATATCACAAAGTGAGGACAAGAGAATTGTGGTTCATTCCCACATTGCTATGCCTTTCTCTGGCATGGCAAATGCACCTGGTTTGACAGCAGAGATGCTACTCTATTTATTGAAAGGTTTTATCAGATGTGCAAGAATTATGAAGTAATTAATTCTAAAAACATTATTGAACAGTTGGCTAGATACTATATTATATAGATTGGAGAATAGATGAAGATCTTGAAAGATTATAAAGAAGATAATTAAGAAGTATTCTCTAAAGAGATTATTCATAAATTTCATAATCAAGACATTACTTACAAGATTCACCATCAGAATTATTTTCAGACAATTATAAAGAAACTGTGTGCTTGAGATGGCAACATTTGTGCCTATATTCAAGAATACACTACTATCACCAGTACAGTTCAAGCAAATAGAAGGCTTGATAAATTTACTAAGATGTCTTGATTTCTTCAGAGACTATCTGAAAAGCTCCAGAATAAGATTATTGACAAGATCAAGCTCAATCTTTCAGACAATATATTACCTATTGATTTTAGAAAAGTTGTTCAGATGACTATGGATTTGATCAACCAGTATGAAGAGAATAAGAAGATCTTTAAAGAAGATAAAATAAAAGAAAATGAAGAAGCTTGATGAGTAATATTAATTAGCTAACAAGCCCTCTATAGTTGAAGCTTCAAAGAAAATAGCTAGTTTTGCAAAGACTGAAGAATTCAAATCAAAAGTCAAAGCTAAGAACTCTGACAGCACCAATATTGAAGTTGCTATTAAAAAGATAACCAATAAGTTCACAAATTTAGCATTGGTCATGAGAGTATAATCAAATCAGATACAAGAGAATTCTAATCAGTATTATATGCTGCAGAGAGAAGAATCTCCAAAATCTACATTAAATTATCTAACTAATATGACTGTTAATCCTACAACTGTACAAGAGAATACTCAACTGCCAGTCAACCTCTATTTAGCTTGAAATGACTCTTCTATAACAGGCTATAGTAGTGCTTATAAACAAGAAGGAGCTTGAACTGGAGAAATTTTAACACATTTCTCATACTTCTACTGTGGAAAACCTGGACATCATCAATCTCAGTGTTATGAATACCAATTCAATATGAGTAATGAATACTGCCATATTGATGACAAAGAGAACTTACATATGAACTTTAAGAATCAAAACTATTGAGCTGTCACTTCTAAATCTGAAATCCCAAACATGTATATTGTACAGTCTATAAGAGAGAATAAATGGGTGATTCTGAAGTCAACAAGCTCTAAAAAAAAGATTAATCAGCAAGAAGAGATACCTCCCATAAATTCAATTAGTATAAAGGTTCAAGCAGGACAGCTTGCATATCTAATATCTGATGAAGAATCTGATTCAGATAAGAAATATGAATCATTAAAAGAAAGAACATCAGTTAATATTGAAACAGTTGAAGAAGCTAAGAATAATCAAAAAGCTAAGATTGCAATGCCCCATACTCAGTATACTGGACAATTTATTACTTATCAGAATAATCAGGCTAGTATTAATGACAATATTATGGAAGACATTGAACCAATCAATCAGAAGAAGCCTGAAATTCAGAGCAAGTTTACAGAGAAACAAAGATCAAAATATTCTGCAACAGATTGCTTATCCTCTCAGATCTGTAATTCAATAAATGCTAATAAATTAATAGGTCAAATTCTCAATGAAAAAGTCAAATTATCAGTCAAGAAGCTTATAGATGTGTCATCAAAGCTTCATCAAGCATTCTTTAGATCAGACTGGAATAACAGTACTAGCAAAAGCCATGTGAAGATTGGAGTCTCCAAACCAGTTCAGCCTGAGCTAAAGATTAATTCTAGTCAACTCACATCAAAGCCCATAGTGCCAAAATCCAAAACAGCATATGGAATGCATTCATTATATGCACCAGTCACTATAAATCAACAAGAATTAATAGTGTTGATCAATACTGGTTCAGAAATCAATTTATTGTCTCAGAAGTATGCTGAAATGTTAAATCTGCCAATAAAAAATAAGTTATAAGTAACTATGGTTGTTCAAACAGAAGAAGTTGCTTCTTTTTATACATTTTGTGACAAAGTAGCTGTTCAAATTAGAGATATTGTTATACATACCCCTTTTCTTATATTTAAGAGAGGGGATCAGCAACTTATTCTTGGAAGATCTTGACAATTTGCTGTCTGTTGGGGGTGCAATACCTCAGAAGACAGCAGAGTGAACTATAAAATTTATAATAAGAAATGAATGTGTTGCCTAGTTTTTGAAGACTTTAAGCCAAACTCAAGCAATATAAGATATGTAACTGATAAATTAAACAGCAATTATTTAAATAATTCAACAGGCATTTAATCAGACAGGTGCCTGTAGATATAAGACCTGAGAAGAATGAAGAAGATATGATAAAGATGATGGATATAAGAATTAATAATAAGAAGGTTGAAGATTAGAAGATTAAAAAGAATAAAGAAGTCAGAAGTATTGGCAGCATTGCTGGTGTTGGTGATTACAGCAATAAGAAGAAATATAATTCTGGTGTTGGTGAATCTAAAAGTATACTAAGTCTAATCAGATTGACCAGTATGCTGGTAAATTAACTGGACTAATCAGAAGACAAGAATAATTTTATGTTAGAAGTTTAGATTTTCTGACCATCACTTCCCAATTCAGACAGTGTCACAGCTTACTGCAAATATTACACATGTGATATTAATTCCAGCTTAATTTAAAAATCTATTCCACAAAGTACTTGATCAATTTATGCATCTCTGAACAAAAATCATGATTTTGTCACAAAGAAATCACATCAGACAGACATTTTTAATAGTGGATGAAACATCAGACTGTCTTTTTTAGAGATCTGAAGAGTGTGCACTGCTTATAAGTGGAAAGCTGATAAGATAAGACTATTAGTATCTGGAAAATCTGATGGAAGCAAGCCAGAAGATCTAGATAATTAGATGAATGTTTATTTGAATAAGTATTATTCTGAGCAAAAACATATTATATTTAATTGTGAATTTGATAATTATATTAGGTCTAGGATTGCACCCTTTTCTGTTAGAGAATGGCTAACAAATAAGAGAATTGAGAAGCTCAAAATTAGATTTGAACTGACAAGTTAGAAGAAAGAATTTTTTATATTAGTTCTTTATAAATGTGAAGAGATGTTAGCTTGATCATTCAAAGATCTATATAATATTCATTCTGAATGCTTGTCTTCCCAGGTTATTCAGACAGAGTCTCATGAGACTTGACAGACTAAAACTTACTGAATTTCTCATGCTCTACATAATAAGCTAATTAAAATCATTCAGAACAGATTAAAAGCTAAAACATTAGAGCCTTGTCATGATTCATATATCAATCTCTATTTTCTGGTCATAAAGAAACAGAAAGATGAATATTGTTTAGTTAATACAGCACATATGTATAACAAAGTTACTATTCAGGATACTTTTATTTTCTTTAATGTTGACAAATATACTGAAGACTTCAGCAGACTTGTGATAGCTAGTCTATACAACTTATTCTCTGAATACAATAATTTTCTATTAGCTAAAGAAAGCAGAGATATAATAGCCATTACAACCTCTATTGAACTCTTTCACCATATGACTTTAGTTCAAGAGACAATGAATTTGCCAGCTCAAGCTCAACACAGAATAATGAAGATAATACACAAGATTTTTTCAGAGATTGCTTGAGCCTTTATAGATGATCTTAGAGTAAAAGAATTGTGTATTAAAAATAAAACTGAAGTTCTTCCAGAAATAAGAAGATTTGTTTATAACTATCTGCAGAACCTGAACTACATTCTATAGCTTGTCAAAATCTCTGAAGCCAGAATCTCCAGCACCAAATCTTAATTCTGCATGTCTGAAGTCAATGTCATTGAATGGGTCTGTAATTATAATGGATGATAATCTGAGAAAGCTAAGATAGCTAAAATTGTGAATTAATCTACTTCTATAAGTATTACAGAATTACAAGAATTTCTAGAGCTAGCTGGATATTTCCAAATACTTATAGAGTATTATAGTTGAATAGCCAAATCTTTATATTATCTGCTTCAACAAAATATTATATGGACATGAACTGAAGAGCAAAATAACATCTTTATACTTTTAAAAGAAAAGTTATGTTCATTCTTTATTATTCTTTCAATCAATTACAAACAAGATTCTTTGCTTATCACTGTGGCTGTTGATGCCAGTGAATTAGAATGAGAAGAATATATTATTCAGAAGCAATGAGAAGCTCAACATTCTGCACAATATAAATTCAGAGCATGGAATGATTCAGAAAAAACATATAATGCTGGTAAATAAGAATGCAGAGCTGTTTTGAAAGTCTTTAAGAAATTCCAACACTATATATATGAAGTGCTCTTTACTTTGGAAATCAATGCAAAAACTCTTGTTGCCTAACTTAATAGAACTGCTACAGATGTTTCAGAAGCTTTGATTACTAATTAAATAGCTTGAATACATCTCTTTGACTTTACTGTTAAATATGTTCCTGGAACAAAACACACAGCTGCTGACAGACTATCTTGTTAAGAACTAGATATTAGAGAACAATCTGAATCTGAAGAAGATGAAGATCTGTTTGCCTTTATAGATTCTATAAGAGTTTTAGCTGGCTGAGCTCTCAATAGTGAAGATCTTAGAATACTGAACTTCACATATTCAGAAGAATCAGAGAAAATTGCATGATATCTAACCACTCTATCAAAATCATTGGGCATGGAAGGAAAAGAGTATGTGAGATTCCAAAGAAAAGCAATTAAATATGTGATGGAGGCTGATCAGCTATTTAAATGAGTGAGATCTGGTATATCTCTAAGACATGTTATGGACAACAAAGATCAGCACAAACAAATTTTACATATGATGCATGACAAATTTGACTATAAAGAGTGAGAAAGAATATACTTTGCTCTACAAGCTCAATACTGGTGATCAGAAATATATAAAGATATGTCTGCTTATATAAAGCACTGTTCTCAATGTTAATAAAGAGATTTACAAAGATTGAGTGAAGAGCTTCATTCTATCTGGGCCTCTATCTGTTAAAAGAAAGTTGGAGTGAATATCAAGCACATGTCTTTCTGTTGAGGACAAAATTATTTAATTGTTGCCAGATATGACTTTATTAAATAAGTAAAAGCTAGAGTCTTGAAAAAGACAACAGCTGAAGCTGTGGTCAAATTTCTTTATAAGAATATCATCTGTCAATGAGACCTGCTTGTCAAATTTGTTATGAATGGAGGACCAGAGAACAAGAATATTATGAAGATCTTACTGAAGAAATTCAACATTAAATATATTATTATTTTGCTCTATAATTCTCTTGCAAATGATATGATGGAAGTTGGCTATAAGTCTTTGGCTAATAAGCTAGCTAAAGCTATTAATGACACTGAAAGAAATTGAATTAAACATCTTTCTGCAATTCTAATAGCAGATTAAATGATGACTAAGACTAGTACTGGTGTCTCTTCTTATAAATTGCTAATAGGCCAGGAGGCAGTTCTTTCAATTGAATTTGAGATTTCTACTTGACAAATAATTTTCTAGTGAAAGATTTAAACAACTGAAGATCTGCTTCTAATGCAAGTACAGCAAATTGAAAGACAAGATAAGAATATCTTAAAAGCAGCTCATTATTAGCTTCAAATGTGTGCTAGAAATAAGAAATACTTTGATAATACTCATAATATTTGGATTAACTCTCTTTTATCTGAAGATCTTGTCTTGCTTCACAATACCAAAGAAGAACAGAATATATCTAGAAATAATACTCTGCACTTTCAATGACTAGAACTCTATAGAGTTAAGTCTGTCAATCAAGAACTAGATTTCTATCATCTTAAAGAGTTAGACAGCACTGAACTCAAAGAATCTATTGCAGGAAATAGATTAAAGAAGTATCTTATGAAATCTGAAATGAAGCTATTTAATAATAGTCCAGCAGATTCTGATGTAGAGATGGGGAACATCTCTCAAAAATATGTTACCAGAAGTTGATCTAACATTCTCTCTAGCAGTTTCTCAGATGTTAGCTTCTTGAATCAGAGTGAAAATAAAAATAATCAAGAAGAAATGAAGCAAACACAATTTTTAACTGTTATATCAGATAACTGGAGCTTTGCTGTTGTTATATCTTCACAAGATGTTTAATTTGTTGTGTTTTGTTTGCAAAAGTGAAGTTTTTTGCTTGCTTATTCAGAAAGTTTCTTTTATTTATCTGCAAAGTGAAGTTTTTACTTGCTCTTTCAGGAAGTTTCTCTTTCTTTATTATTTGCTTAGCATTCACTTTTCCTGAAGATATTTAAAGATTAATTTTTCTTTGCTGGAGCTTTTACTTTCTTTTATATTCAAGCTTGATTCTTTTTACAGATTCAACAATTTCTTCTATTCTGTTATTCTGACATTTGCAAATTTTTTGATCTCTGATATTCTTTAAAAATAGCTGGACAAAGCAACCTGCCTTCTTTAGCACCAGCAACTAAAAATCAAGATCTGGTCATTATCAGAGACAGTGGAGTCAACTTGAATAGCCATTTCTTCAATAATCTAACAGCAGCTATGGAATACATTAATAACCAAGCTCTACACCACCACTATGGTCTGCAAGTCAAACTGATGAATGTACTTATGCAAGTGACTGATATGATTACTGACTTAGTGGCTCATTTCTATCAATATATTAAAAGATCCAGAGCTTGGCAATATATTACATACATCAATTTTGAAGCTGATTTTCATGATGCTTGAAAGATTATTCTGAATGTTGAACAATATTACATTAATATACAAAAGATCAAGAATAGACTTGTCACTATATGGAAGATAGACAGAATTGATGCTATATGGTTAAAAGTGAAGAATCTGTGGGCTGCATAAAAGCTTCACCATACTCTAAATATCTACAAGAATTAGGATAAGTTCACTAACAATATTAACAGTACAGTGCTCTGAAGACTAGATGCTACAGAAGCTGAATATTACTGAAGCTTA